TTCTCTCTTCATTGCGCAGTCCGCAAAGTTCGATCTGGTGAGATTTTGATGGCATCAAAGCTGGGGGGCCGAAGAGCGAGAAAATAAAAAACCCCGACTGCGATAACAAGAGATTTGGTGCAAACTACCATCATGGCCAGTTTGGGCTGGACTGGATGCTTATTGGTAGGAACTGGGATACACTCCATGCCCAGCTCTGGCAGGTTCGAAAGATTCGCGGCCACCGGAAAGTCCCGGAACGATCAAAGTTTGTGATGGCACCGCTTGAGGCACCATTCATGATCAGGCTGCCTTGTTGCTTCGAAAACAGATGTACAGAGGTCATATACAGTCCAGGGAAGCAGTCCAGGGAGAACTTGAGACTTGAGAAAAAAAAAGTTCTGAGCACCAAAGTTTTTTTGTTTGGTTTTCATTTTTGCAACGTTTGGAACACGATACATTCATAGATCAGATCTTGACACTTTTTTTTTGCCACTTTCAGGGTTATCCACTCTTCTATGTCCAGCGTCCAGCGATAGAGAATACAAGGCTGAAACAGGAGATAGTGCGCGGCGGCTAGACGTACGCGACGCGTTGTTGTGCCCTGTTTGGTGTACTCGTGCTTCCTGCCACCATCCCCGAACTTTTTCAAATTTCAGTCTGTGCTGCGTTCGTCCATCCAACGTCCATCCTCCTCCCTCCTCCGAAGACCAGCTCTTCGCAGCTCCAAAGCTCTCGGTCGCCGCAACCAAACGGGATCCGATCCTTTCGAATCGCTCCACTCCCGAGTCCCAATCGTCCCTCAAGCTTTTGGCTAGTAACCGCGACTGAACCTCGCTCGCCGACGTCGCCCTCCGCCCCCGATGCTTCACACTACTCAGAACTGTCTCCCGCCCATCGCGCTGTGTTGGTGCTGCGTCAATCCACGCTCTCCCGCACCACTCCCGGAGTCGCCATTGCCGCCTCACCCCTCTTAACCCTGTTAGAAGACGACACCACTTCCGTAGCCCATCTTCACCTCCGCCGTCAGTAGCCATCATTCTGCCTCGAGCGCTCGACGCCGTCTATGTGCCCCCGCGCCTCCTCATACCCTTCTCGCAGGCCCATGCCAAGATTGCCTGCCCCACTCCGCCCTGGTCCCGCCTGTACCGCTCTGCCTCAGCCACGGCGCCTCCTTGTCGTGCACGCCGCGCACCCCGTGTTCGCTCGCTCCGACCACGTCATGCACAGATCGGGTGCGTATGCGGTACTGCATCGGGCCTTCGCTTCTCGCTTTCATGGAGCGGGACCATAAAGACGCGGAGACGGAACGCGCCGCCGATCTCAGTTCACAGAGGCGTACTTGGGGAGCGGTTCGGCTCTTCCCTCAGCGCTCTTGTCTACCCTTTGCATGGTGACCCACGCCGCAGATCGTCTCGAGCTTCGGCGAGCCACCACCGCTGCGCCGATCCCCCTCCCTCCGCCGCCTCTACCCATCCCACCCATCTCCTTTCCCTTCCCTTTCGCTCCCTCCGTCCTCTCCCTTTGCCTCTCCCTCTCCGCTCCCTTTCCCTTTCCCTACACACTCCCTCACCGCGTTCTCCACTCGGGGCGATGACACATATGATGCGCGCGTACTTTCGTCAGCGCGAGGAGGGGCCTCACAGGATGGTGCGCAGGGATGGGATGAGCTGGGATCAGAATATGAGGCCGGGAGGTGCGCCTCACTGCGTGGCGATGGTGCGGGCAGAGATGTCGGGCGCGTGCAGAGGTTACACGATACTCGCTCCCTTTCCCTACCCCTGTCGACAGCGATGGGTGGCGTCGGCGACACTGCCCGTTCCCAAACGAGGTGGTCCCGGGGCGGACGACCATATGCTAGCTGTGCTCCTACTCCGCTGCCTGCGCGCAGGGCGAGGCGTGCTTGCCTCAGTGGCAGGAGGGTGCGGGTCGCGGGACGTACCTTGCCGCCCACGCCCCGGAGGTGCATTGACTCGTGCGACGAGCATGGCGCGCTGCGGACGTGCGCCGTCGTGCTGACTGCACTCCGCCGCCCGCGCGTGCGAGGCGAGCTTACCGAGGAGGGTGCGGGTCGCTGGACGTACGACCCTGGGACATGTACGTTGCAGCCACGGTCAACTGTCCATGGCCAATGCGTGGTGCACCGCGTCCGGGGAGGAGATGACGTGCGCGCGCGGGCTCGGGGATAGTGGCGTGTGCTGCACAGGGAAGCTCAATGAGAGCGACTGCGGCGGAGGGGCTGACGTCGTGCGGGAGCAGCGGACGTCGCGCGGGAGCATCGGGCGCGAAGCCTGTAGGCCGGCGAGGCATTTGTGATCTGTGGGCGCTGCGCGCATGGGCGGTGCCTTGCACGCTTGAGGGAACGATGTCGCGGATAGTCTGCAGCACAGTTGACGCTATTTTATTTGACTCTCTCTTCCCATCGCCTATCTTCCGAGTTCTTCATTCGAATTCCAGCTCTTCCGCTGCGCTACCTTTGGTCTCCTCCTCTCTTCTGATTCATGCACTCTATCCGGTCCAGTAGCTTGTCCGGTGTAACAATGCGCATTCTCGCAATACACGATCGGTCTCCCTGTTTCAATCGTGACACTACTGCTGAGGGAGGCGGACTATCTGCCCAAGCAGGCGCGTCGAGCTGCGAATCCAGCAATGAAGTTTGAACAGAAACATGGGTGTCGCACTATGTCGAGTTTTTTTTTTTTTGAGGTTGAGGAGCGAGAAGTTAGCGCCTCTGTGCACAGTTTTACGATTCGCTCTTACTGGTTACTTATTGGGAAAACTGTAGCATCGCATCCTTCCAAAGGCGATCGTTTGCACCTAGCAGACGGGGAAAAAATGGTTCAAATTCAACAAGACGACATGCACCGGCGGGGAATCGAACCCCGTCTCACCATAATACAAGTCATCTGATCACCTAGTACATTGGTGCGCGTTCCATACGCAACCGGTGCTCATACCCTTCCCTTTCACAGGAGTACAGAGATAATTCTGACGCAAGAAGACTCCAGTGTGGCGGTTCGATGCATCAACTGCAAATTGCAAACCCTCGAAGCAAAATGACCAGTTCAACGCTACGGAGTCTCATGTGGACATGGACACACAATTAATCCCAGAATGCCAAAAAAAAAATCGCCGTGACAGACCTCATGGACCGGTGGGGAATCGAACCCCGTCTCACCACTATAATCCCAAAGGACATGGAACTATTATATTGGTGCATGTTCCGTACACCACCGATGCTCACACCCTCCTTTTCAATCCCTCATAAGTAGCGCTGTTCTGCTCTTGGTCTTATTCCGCCGGGTGAGAACTTGAATGCAACAGTGGAACCCCATCCGACTACATATTGCACAGTACAGGGGCGTTTTTCATGCACATTAAACCGATGTGCAGTTTCTTATTTTAACGCTTCTAGCATTGACCCACCGCTAGGGAGAAGAAAAAAGATTGAACTGCGCAACTGTAACATGCACCGGTGGGGGATTAAACCCCATCTCACCATTGACTAGACTTCCAACATTTTCTATCATATTGGCGCGTGTTCCATACATAACCGGTGCGTATACCCTTCCTTTCCAGCTTCCATACACACATGCTTGTTTTGCCATTGGTAAGTATGCGAAGATGAAAATAGGTGCAGCGGCTCGTTTGAGGATAGTTCAACACTGTGAAGTATGATCCACTCGAGCAGCTCATATTGTCCTACTTACACACATCTGGTTCTTTTGCGTGTAATCTTTTGGCGAAAAAAAAAAAAAAGAAACTCTCAACCGTGTCCATGCACCAGCGGGGAACCGAACCCCGTCTCACCATTATAATGTCAAAGGCTCAACCTGTCGGTGCCTGTTCCATAGACCACAGGTGCTCATACCCCTTCTTCTCGATTATCTATAGCCACATTCCAGTTCTGCTCTCTTAGCGGGGATGAAGAAATACAGACAGCATCTGCTGATTCAACAATGGCTCAACACCGATCATGACCGAAGTACCATCCGCGGTTGAACGTTCAACCTTCACAGACACATGTTCTACTCTCTTAACAGGTATGAAAAAGACGACAAAATAGACGCAGCGATTCCGCCGATTCGAGAATGCAATAACAACATACTAGGAAATGAAAAAGGAATGCCTAGACTTCTGTGCATGCACCGGCGGGGAATCGAACCCCGTCTCACCCTTACAACTCAAGGTTCTGAAGCTAGGACGAATCTTGTTGGTGCGTGTTCCATACACTATCGGTGCATATACCCTCCCCTTCTCGATCAGTTGATCACGGAAACAATCCCGGTGGGAGGCGAAATAAATTCAACCGCGAAAGTTCATGGCACTGGCGTTAATCGCGAACTCTCTTCAGAAGCCAAGTTCTCAGCACTCATATCATCCCATCTCGGAACTTCAATAATATGGGAGAAGAAAAAGGATCATTGGCCTGATCTTATGCACTGACGGGGAATCAAACCTCGTCTCACCATCACAAGAAGTCGCGCTTACTCAGCGCTCAGCGCTTATCCCATTGTTCCGTGTTCCATACACCATGGGTGCTTATGCTCTTCCTTCCAAACTTTCATAGACTCATACACTCTGATGAAAAGAGAGACACAGCGATTCCGCCGATTCGAGGATGGTTCAACTTTTCGCTCATGATTGAACTTGAACAGCTCGCGGGGTTTCATTTCTTCCCCTTCAGCCCTTCGATGGTCACAATTTTCCGGGTTTCGTATGGTAAAGGAAACCTGAAGAAAAATACAGGCTCACCAACATGCACCAGCGGGGAATCGAACTTCACCATTACCAAGAAGTCGCTAAACTGATCCTATTGGTGCGTGTTCCATACACTACCGGTGCGCATACCCTCCCTTTCCCAAGCACAGTAGCTCAGAGATACTTCTCTTGCAGGAAGACTCCAATCTGGCAGTTCGTGAATCCCGACCTACCGTAAGCTAACTGACTGTTCGAGGCCTCCAACATCCCCTATGGTACTTGATATGGGAGAAAAAAATCTTGACCTGATTCAAGTATTATGCACCGGTGGGGAATCGAACCCCGTCGCACCGTTATGAAGATGCTGACGGTACTTATAAGTTAATGGTGCGTGTTCCACACACTACCGATGCTCTTTCCTTTAAATTGCCTTCTCAGATAGTTGAGTAGTGCGGGCAGCAGGAATCCACAGCACAAAAATCTTGCTCTTACACTCTTCCCTCCGAGTTGGCTCGGATCAAATACACAAGGCGCGGCATGTTTTACGATGAACCTCTCGGCGAATTCAAGCTGCTGTACCTACTGACTAGGTTAAGGTGAAATACTGCAAGCGGATGCTCAAAGGCTTATTGCGCAACGTTAATTAACGCACCCCAATCCATGAGGTGTAACTTATTCCTATACGAGGGAATGCCCTGTTCGAATCAAGCAGGGCCCGGCCATCCATGTGCGACAAATCTTAATTTTTTTGCCACTGTTTATCGCCTTATTTATCCAGTGTCCAGCCATACAGAATACATGGTTGAAACAGAAGATAATACGCGCGCGGCGCGTTGTTGTGCCCTGTTTGGTGTGCTCGTGCTTCCTGCCACCATGTCGGTCTTTTTCGAATCTCAATCTGTGCTGCGTTAGTCCATCCTCCTCACTCCTCCGAAGACCAGCTCTTTGCAGCTCCAAAGCTCTCAGTCGCCGCAACCAAAACGGGATCCAATCCTTTCCAATCGCTCCGCAAAATAGCCAGCAACTGGCTCCCCAGAGCCCCAATCGTCCCTCGACCTCTTGGCTAACCGCGACTGAACCCCGCTCACCGACATCTCCCTCCGCCCCCGATGCTTTACGTACTTAGTGTTCAAACCCGTCTCCAGCCTATCGCGCTGCGTTGGTGCTGCGTCAATCCACATTCACGCGGAGTCGCCATTGCCGCCTCGCCCCCTTTTAATCCTGCTACCATGCCAGAAGACTGCACCACTCAGCCCTGTGACCCATTCTCACCTCCGCCATCATCGACCGCCATCCTTCCTCAAGCCGTCGACGCCGTCTACCTGCCTCGCGCCTCCTCATCGCCACGCGCTGCAGGATTGTCCGCCCACCCCGCCCTGTACCGATCTGCCGCAGCCATGGCGCCTTGCGCTCGTGCGCCCCGAGCGCCCCATGTTCGTGCGCTGCTACCACGTCATGCGCGGGTCGGGTGCGTATGCGGTACGCAGTTGTGCATCGGGCCTTGGCTTTCGCTAGGGGAGCGAATCGTGAAAACGCGGAGACACGGGGAGTGCGTGTGCGCCGCACGGTGTGCGCACAGACGGGAGTGAAGCACCGGTGACGGTGCGCAGTTACTACCCTGCGCCCGCGCCGTTGTCTTCGCTGCATGCGCATGCATATGTGTTCTACGACGCCGACGCGCGCGGCAGATCGTCTCGAGCTTCGGCGAGCCACCGCCGCTGGCCCGATCCCCCTCGACCTCCCCTTTACCTTCTATTTCGCTCCCTCCGCCCCCTTCCTTTATCCTCCGTCCTCTCTCTTCCTCCCCTCTTTCCCGTCCGCGTCCGCCCCTTCTCCATCCACGTTCTCCCCCCCCCCCCCCCCCCCCCCCCCCCCCCCCTCGCCCTCGCCCTCGCCTATAGCGCGAGCACTGGTACTGGCTTGCGCACTCGCAGCAGCGCGGTCAGGTGCAACAGCCTGCGATGCGGCGATCCTGCGGGGAACAGGGATGAGGTGCATCATGGCGCGCGGTCTGGGGACGTGCGCCGTCGACTGCTGGCGGGTGTCGAGGCACGAGGCACGAGGCGCGAGTATGGTATCTAGTGCGCACGTCGCTGAGGCGTACGAGGACATGGGCGAGGTCACGCACGCTCAACGAGCGACGAATACGTGGGGACGACGTGCCGCTTGCTGACGGTGGCCCGTAGCGCGATGAAGCTGAAGGCAAGCGACCGCGGAGGGGCGGACGTGTCACAGGGGGCGGGCGCGCAAGTTGCGGGCGTACGATGGCGCATGTGCGCTTCCGCCAACGGTGCGATGGTCAATGGCCAATGCGGAGAATGCATCACGTCCGGGGATGGTAGTATGACGTGCGCGTGCGGGCCCGGGGATATTGGTGTCTGGCGCTGCACGGGGAAACTCAAGGAGAGCGGCCGCGGAGGAGGGGCGGACGTCGTGCGAGGTAAAGGAGGAGCCGCATCGCCTCGAAGGCTCAAAGCGCGCGTAAGCCGGGGAGGCATCGTGTTTTGTGTTTTGTGGGACATCGGCCTTGACTTGCACGCAACGCGGCGTCGCGGATCTTCTGCAAAGCACTTGACGCCAATTTATCCCAACTCTCCCCTCAATCAATATCTCAGATTCTACGACGTTCTACCTCAGACTTCTCCAGTTTTGTTCGCGTTTTGTATCGGGATCTTCAAGTCTCGATGTAACAATGCGCAGTCTCGCGCTGTACTCCAATACACCATTGGTCTCCCTCCCCCTCTTTTTCACGGCAACAGCGGAACCTCTGTGATGTTTTTTTTAAGTACGCCCGATTCTCCTGGACCGGGTTTGGTTTCTGACATTCCTGGCTTCTGTTCAATGTGTCTCCATCTCCATGATGGTTTCCTTTATTTGGCACGGAGTGGATGAGCAGAATCAGAAGGAGATGCAGTCGTGCGATTCTCGATCCCGGGCGCACTGCAGTGCGAACGGGGATTCTCGTTCGCGCGCGGGACCTCAGGGTTGTGTGTGTGGGCCAGAGAGCGTGCAATTTTACGATTCCAACTTGGTCCAAGCTTGGCTCTAGGTCTTACTGCAGACGGGAAAAAATGGATTCTATAAGTCCAGCCGACCATGCACCGGCGGGGAATCGAACCCCGTCCCACCGTTACATGATCCCTAGGTATCAGACAAATCATGTTCAAGGTGCGTGTTCCATACACCACCTGTGCTTATACTCTCTCTTTCTGAAGCACAATAGTAGAGAGATAATTCTTCTGCAAGAAGACTCCAGTGTGGCGGCTCAATGCACCGACTGCAAATCGAAGCAAGATGCCCAGTTCACCCCTCCTGAGTAAGTACTAGTAGGATGATATTTTCTAATGTAGACATGGAAACACAATTAATCCCAGAATGCCAAAAAAAAAAAGTTATCATGGGCAGATCTCATGTACCGGCGGGGAATCGAACCTCGTCTCACCGTCATGATATTGCACGACTATCATACAGGTGCGCGTTCCATACGCAACCGGTGCTTGCATCCTGCTTTCCATCGTTCATATGCTCTGCTCTTGGGATGAAAATTCACTGATCATGCACCGGCGGAACAACCGGTGCTCGATGCTCATCCTCCGCAGGCACCAAGTCGAGACGCAATTCTCCCAGTAAAAAAGTCCCGAACCGTTATCCCATGGATTCGAACCCCTTCTCACCATGTAACCATTCACCGAGGCAGGAGCTATCAGGTCGATGCGTGTTCCATACGCCACCGGTGCCTATACACTCCTTTCGGACCTTCGTGGATATGTGCACGTTCTACTTTCTTAGCAGATATGAGAAACAAAAAACCCCGCCGGGAGTATCCGATTCGAGGATAGTTCAATTTTGAACGTCGCTCATGTTTGAAAAATAATCAACGCGAACAGCTCGTTTTGGCGTAGAGGAGTACATCTCGTCTTTGGCGACCTTTCGAGTATGGTCACAATTTGCCCAGTGCGGTATGGTAGGCAATGAAAAAGAAAAAGGAATGACTTGTCACTATGAACGTACATGCACCGGTGGGGGATCGAACCCCTTCTCACCGTTATGAAGAAAATCATGCAATCCAGGTTATTGGTGCGTGTTCCAATCACTACTACCGGTGCTCATACCTTCCCTTCAAGCCTGCACATCCATGATCGTGCTCTCCTGGGACGTATGAAAAGAAAATCGATATCACTCACCTGTGCTCAAGGCCTACAGCTCGGATGGGACTACGGGCGCATCTTAATTTTCCGTCACGGTGGTCTGCATGGCAAAGGAAGTAATAACCAAAAAGGAACGAGAAACATCACCACATCGGTATGCACCGGCGGGGAATCGAACCCCGTCTCACCATCACAAATAAGTCGAGCCAATCCTATTGGTGCGTGTTCCACACACTACCGGTGCGTATACCCTCCCTTTCCCAAGCACTGTAGCTCATGAATAATTCTCCTGTAGTGTGGCAGCTCAACCACCGGTGTGCATCCCGAACCTCTCCGTAAGCAAACTGACTGGTACGTATCATTCCAGGCCTCCGGCATCCCATATGGTATGATATGGGAGAAAAAATCGACCTCTTATCCTATCGCAATATGCACCGGGGGGGACTGAACCCCGCCTCACCGTTATGAAGATGTAGGCTGGTACTCATAGGTTATTGGTGTGTTCCATACACCACCGATGCTCATTCCCTTGAGGATTCCTTCTCAGACAGTTGAGTTGGGGAAGCAGCTGAAATACACGACACATATTTTTTGCGCTTACACCTCTCCTTTGACCAGGCTCCCATGAACTACACAAGGCGCGGCATGTTTTACGATGAACCTCTCGGCGAATTCCGAATTCGAGCTGCTGTACATACTGACTAGGTTAAGTTGAAATACTGCAAGCGGATACTCAAAGGCCTATTGCGCAACGTTAACGCACCCCAATCCATGAGGTGTAACACTGTGGGTGTCAAAGCTAATGACTTTCACACCCTCGCGTATGTGAAATTCAGTCTCCGAATTCCTGACTTTTTGTAACATTCCATGCACTTTATCATGGAATTCATGGACTAGGTGTGAATCGCATTCCCGGGACACACTTTTCATGCACTTGGGTCACATACTTTTTGAAAGGTTTCATGCAATTTTTGTGAATTTCATGATTCGGACCATGAAATTCATTAGCTTTGACAACCACAGTGTCATTCCTATACGAGGGAATGCCCTGTTCGAATCAAGGCCCGGCCATTCGTAGTCTCTAACGCTCTTTTGCCACTTTATCCGCTCTTTTATGTAGCGATAGAGAATACAGGGCTGAAACAGGGGATGATACGCGGTGGCTGAACAGGCGCGACGCGTTGTTTTGCCATGTTTGCTGTGCTCGTGCTTCCTGCCACCACCACCACGTTTCCAATTTCCTGGGGCTATGTTCAGCTACCCGTCCTTCTTTGAGCACCGACAGCTAGCTCTTTGCAGTTCTCGAGCTCTCGGCCGCCGCGAGCAAACGGGATTCACTTCCTCGAATCGCTCGAGAAAATCAAGGAGCAAATAGCGGCGCCGGCTCTGCCAGCCTGACGTCCTCTTGGCTACTCGCGACTGAACTGGCACACCGACATGGCTCACCGCCCCCGTCGCTTCACAGTGTTCAAACCTGTCTCCAGCCTATCGCGCTGCGTTGGTGCTGCGTCAATCCACATTCCCCCGAGTCGCCAATATTGCCGCCTCGCCCCGTTTTAATAGGGTAATCCTGCCACTAGTATGCCAGAAGACTACACGACTTTCACCGCACTGTCGCCCATCCTCGTCAGCAGCCTTCATCCTCCCTCACTCAAGCCCTCGACGCCGTGCGTGCCTCACGCCTCGCAGGCACACGCTGAAGGATTGCCCGCCCCACCCCGCCCTGATCTCGTCCGTACCGCTCCGCCGCAACCACGGCGCCTCGTGCTTGTGCGCTGCTGCCGCGCCGCGCGCCCCGTGCTCGCGCGCCCCGTGCTCGCGCGTCCCGACCGCGTCATGCGCGGGTCGGCGGTATAATGTCCCGGATCCAGTCTTCGATTTCGCTTGGGGACGGGGAGCGGGATGATAAGGACGAGCGCGCGTGCGGCCTGCGCCGGCACCACTACACGTGCGCCGCGCCGCCGTAACCCTGTCGTGCCTGTCGCGTATCGTCCCGCCCGTGGGCAGCATAGGCGTATAGTGGGCGGATGTGGGGTGCACAGACGGCGACCTGGTGAGGTGCGCTGCTGCCTACCTTCCCCTGCGCCTGGTCTTATTGACGCACGCGGTAGATCCTCTCAAGCGAGCTACCATTCCGTCCTCCTGTCACCGCTACCCCTCCCTTGTCTTCCTCCTCCGCCTCTACCCAGCCTACCCATCCCCTTCCCCTTTCTTTTCGCTCCCTCCGCCCCCTCGCCTGTCTTCTGTCCTCTTTCTTTCACTTTCCCTCTCCAGTCTCCACTCCCTCACTACATTCTCCACTCTGAGGGATGGCGCATATGATGCGCCTACTTTGCGCGCGGACTCGTGCGGAGGAGCTGAGACTCGGGCCTCACAGGCTGGTGCGCCGGGATGGGGAAGCGCGGATGGGAGGCCTAGGCGCACGGCGTGGCGATGCTGCGTGTAGAAATGGCGCGCGCTTGCAGAGGTTACATGTTGCACGCTCCTTTCCCGCCGCGGCAGGGCGGGGCGGAGGTGAGTCGACAGCGATGTCGGCGATGCTGCACGCTCCCTTTCCCTTTCCCAGACGTGGAGGGTACGGGTCGTGGGACGTACGGCGGTGGGGCATGTACGACACCGCTTTGCCGTGGCGCGCGGACGTGCAGTGATTCGTGCGACGAGCATGGCGCTGCGGACATCTGTCGTCGACTGGTGGCGAGCATAGCCAGATTGTGCTCCGCCGTCCGCGCGCAGTGCGCACGTCGGACCGTCACGTCGCTGCGGGTGCTTACTTGAGGAGGGTGTGGGTCGCGGGACGCAGGCCCTACGGCGGTGGAGCATGTACGCTGGCGCCCACTGACGACGATAAATAGCCAATGTGTGGTGCACCGCGTCTGGGGAGGGACGGCGCCGTACGCGTGCGGGCTCCTTGATAGTGGCGCGCGCCGCGCGCGCGGTGCTACATGATGCCGGAAAGGAGAGCGGTGGAGGGCGGACGTCGTGCGGGAGCCGCCGATGTGTTATGTGTGGTGGGGCGTGTCCGAGCTGAGTTACGGCTTAAGCGCACCGTTTGCGGAGCTTGTGCAGAGCACCTGCGCCATTGTAGCTCTACCTTCCCTTCGTGCCAGCTCCCGATACTCTACCTCTGCCCTAATCTCTTGCCACTCGGTATCTTGTCTTGGTGTAACAATGGGTAGTCTCGGGCTGTACGGCAATACACCATTCGTCCCCCGTTTCAATCGCGACACTTCTGGTTTTGGAGGGCCGAGGCGGACTATCTTCTGGACATTGCCCAATTCAGGTGCAGGCGCTTTGAGCGATGAACAGAAACTCCATCGGTGTCGCTCAGGCTTCAGCTGTGTTTCCTGTTTCTCTTATTTGAGGCGGAGGATCGAGAAATTAAAACTTGGCGAAGGTGGAGTTGCACTGAGCCGCCCGCGACCGCGGGGATACTGGGCCCACCTGTGGTCGGGAGCTCGGGACTGTGTGTGCGTTCCAGACTCCAGAGAGCCAGTCGAATTTACTCCGTGCACAATTTTACGATTCCATTTGGTCCAAACTGGGCTCTCACTGGTTACTCATTGCAAAATTTGTAGTATCGCAACATCGTTCCAGCGGCGATGGTTTGCACCTAGCAGACTAGAAAAAGCGAGTTCGCAAGAACATGCACCGGCGGGGAGTCGATCCCAGTCTCACCGTTACAACTCAAGGATCAATACGTCGAGGAATCATGTCGGTGCGTGTTCCATACACCACCGATGCTTATACCCGCTCTTTCTGTAGCGCTGAAGTACGGTTAATTCTGCTGCGAATCGAGTATTGTCGGACGGCCCGTACCACATCCAATGCACCAACTGCAAATTGCAAACTCTCGAAGCAAGATGCCCAGTTGAACGCTCCTGAGCATGATATGTTCCAATGTGGACATGGACGCACAATTAATCCCAGAATGCAAAAAACATCGCTATGACAGATCTCCTGATGTACCGGCGGGGAATCGAACCCCGTCTCACCATTATAATCCCAAAGGACATGGAACTATTATATTGGTGCGTGTTCCGTACACCACCGATGCTCACACCCTCCTTTTCAATCCCTCATAAGTAGCCCTGTTCTGCTCTTGGTCTTATTCCGCCAGGTGAGAACTTGAATGCAACAGTGGAGGCGATTTCAATTTTCAACGAACCTCATCCGACTACATACTGCACAGTACAGGGGCGTTTTTCATGCACATTAAACCGATGTGCAGTTTCTTATTTTAACGCTTCTAGCATTGACCCACCGCTAGGGAGAAGAAAAGAGATTGAACCGCGCAACATACACACATGCTTGTTTTGCCATTGGTAAGTATGCGAAGATGAAAATAGGTGCAGCGGCTCGTTTGAGGATAGTTCAACACTGTGAAGTATGATCCACTCGAGCAGCTCATATTGTCCTACTTACACACATCTGGTTCTTTTGCGTGTAATTTTTTGGCGAAAAAAAAAGAAAAAGAAACTCTCAACCGTATCCATGCACCAGCGGGGAACCGAACCCCGTCTCACCATTATAATTTCAAAGGCTCAACCTGTCGGTGCCTGTTCCATAGACCACAGGTGCTCATACCCCTTCTTCTCGATTATCTATAGCCACATTCCAGTTCTGCTCTCTTAGCGGGGATGAAGAAATACAGACAGCATCTGCTGATTCAACAATGGCTCAACACCGATCATGACCGAAGTACCATCCGCGGTTGAACGTTCAACCTTCACAGACACATGTTCTACTCTCTTAACAGGTATGAAAAAGACAACAAAATAGACGCAGCGATTCCGCCGATTCGAGAATGCAATAACAACATACTAGGAAATGAAAAAGGAATGCCTAGACTTCCGTGAAGCTAGGACGAATCTTGTTGGTGCGTGTTCCATACACTATCGGTGCTTATACCCTCCCATTCTCCGTCAATTGATTATGGAAACAATTTCGGTGGGAGGCCAAGTAAATCCAACCGTGTAAGTTCAACGCACTGGCGTTGATCGCGAACCCTCTTCATAAACGAGGTTCTCAGCACTCACATCATCCCATCTCGGAGCTTTTGGTGTTCCTTCCGGCATTGAGGTAGGCCCTTGTGAGAGAAGCAAAAGTGTCTATTGCCATCACAATATGCACCGGCGGGGAATCGAACCCCTTCTCACCATTATAAGGAAGCATGGTTATCAATTTCTCGGTGCGTGTTCCATACACAACGGGTGCATATATGGCATATATGGGCATACACCCTCCCTTTCCTTAGCACTGTGGTTCACAAATAATTCTGGCAGCTCGACCCGAACCTCGCCGTAAGCGAACCGACTGGCGCGTATCTTTCGAGCCCTCTGGCATCTCTTATGGTATGATATGGGAGAAAAAAAAGTATTCTTCCATCCCAATATGCACCGGTGGGGAATCGAACCCCGTCTCGCCATTATTATCGCGAAATCAAGCATATCCTGTTGGTGCGTGTTCCACACACTACCGGTGCGTATACTCGGCATATACCCTCCCTTTCCTAGGCACTGTGGTTCGCAAATGATTCCCAGTCGGGTAGCTCGACCATAGGTGTGAATCCCGAACCTCTCCGCAAGCAAACCGCCTGGCGCGTATCTTGCGTGTCTTTCGTGGCCTTCGGCATCCCTTATGGTATAATATGAGAGAAAAAATCGACCTCTTATCCTATCGCAATATGCACCGGGGGGGACTGAACCCCGTCTCACCGACGTCGTCATGGATAAGACTGATTATACTTAAGTTATTGGTGCGTGTTCCGTACACCACCGATGTTCATTCCCTTTAGGATTCCTTCTCAAACAGTTGAGTTGGGCAAGCAGAAATCCACGGTGCAAATGTTTTGCGCTTACACCCTTCCCTCCGCGAGTTGGCTCCCATCAACTACAGAAGGCGCGGCATGTTTTGCGATGAACCTCTCGGCGAATTCAAGCTGCTGTACATACTGACTAGGTTAAGTTGAAATACTGCAAGCGGATACTCAGAAGCCTGGCGCGCAACGTTCACGCACCCTCAGAATTCCCACACGAGGGACCCCACGGGAGGGGCGCTCGATAAGCGGGCGAATGCCTTGTTCGACTCAAGGACGGGCCATGCATATGTACAACGGTATTGTTGACGCTTTTTGCCACTTTCAGTGTTAAACCTGAGCTTGATTTCCTTTCTTTAGCGATAGAGAGTACAAGGCTGAGACAGGATGATGCCCAATGGCTGGACGCGACGCGTTGTTGTGCCCTGTTTGCTGTGCTCGTGCTTCAGTTTCTCGTCACCACCACCAGCATCTCGGTTTCGTTGTGCGTTCATTCACCCACCCTGAGCCATTCTCCCTCAAGCATGTGGCCCGTTTATTCACAGCTGTAGTGCTCCCTGCCGCCGCCACCGACCCAGATCCAGTCGCTGGATGAAATTGCAAGAAGCCGCAAATCGCACTGTGCAGGCCAAGTGCAGGCCAAGCATCCCTCAACCTCCGCGAACCTCGCTCACCGACATTCAAGTCCTACGCCCCCGATTGCGATGCTTCACAGCGTCTCCAGCCTATCGCGCTGCGTCAATCCACATTCACCCCGGAGTCGCCCTTGCCGCCTCGCCCCCTCTTGACCCTGCTAGAAGACTACACCACTTTCACCGTCCCTGTGGCCCATCCGACTCACCTCCGCCGTCATTGACCGTCATCCTCCTTCAAGCCCTCGACGCCGTATACATACCCAGCGCCTCCTCGTCGCCTCCTCCATACACATCCGCACGATTGCCTGTCCCATCACGCCCTGATCCCGCCCGTACCGCCCCGCGGGCCGCCGCAGCCATGGCGCCTCATGCTCGTGCGCCGTGCTCGCGCGCTTCGACCACGTCATGGCAGCGTGCGCGAGTCGGAAGCGTATGCGGTACACCGTTGTTCATCGGGGCTTCGCTTTCGCGAGGAGTGAGCGGGATGATAAGGACGAGCGTGCGGCGCGCGTCGACACCGCTACACATGCACCGCGCATCCGCAACCCTATTGCGTGTCGTCTCGCCCGTGATGCAGCATAGACGTGTAGTGGACGGATGTGTGGCGACTCCTGGATCCTGGTGAGGTCCGCTGCTCTTGGCGCTCGGCGCTGACGCACGCGGTGGATGGTCTCGAGCTTCGGTGCTGTGTATCCGCTCTCACCATCCCATTCCCTCTCCTTCTTCTCTCCCTCTCCCTCCCCGTCCGCCCTCCCGCTCCCGCTCCATCCTCGTTCCCCCTCTCCCCCCGCCCTCGCTCATAGCGCGAGGACTGGTGCTGGGTGGCGTATTCACGGCAGCGCGACGTCTGAAATGCGGGGATCCTGCGCGGACAGGGATAGGAGCGGACACCCCCTTTCCCATGGTGCGTGCTACCAGGGCGGACGTGCGCCGTCGAGTGCCAGCGGGGATTGAGGCCCGAGCACGGGGGGGCGGGCATGGTATCAGGCGCAGACACGTCGCTGAGGGACGTACGAGAGCATGGGCAGGGTCGCGTGCGCTCGAGGACGGATGCGTGGAGACGACGTGCCGGTGGCGCATGGCGCACGGTCCTGGGGCGGACGAGGATATTCTGATTGTACTCCGCCGCCCGCGCACGTCGCTGCGGGTGCTTACTCGAGGAGGGTACGGGTCGCGAGACGTACTGCGCTGGGGCATGTACGCTGGGGATAGTGGGGCGCGGGGCGACGGTTGATGCCAAATGCCAAATGCTAGATGCGCAGAGTCCGGCTGGGGAGGGCGTGCGCGTGCGGGCTCGGTGATAATGGCGCGTGGCGCGCGCCGTGGTACTGCATTATGCCGGAGAAGGAGAGCAGTGGAGGGCCGACGTGTCGTGCGGGGTAAAGGCGGAGCCGTGTCCCATCGAAGGCGCAAAGCGCGCGTAAGCCGCGAGGCATTTGTGTCTTGTGTCTTGTGGGCGCATGGGCGTGTCGGCGCTGACTTGCACGCAACGCGCCGTCGTGGATGGTCTGCAAAGCACTTGACGCCATTTTATTCACGTAACTCTCATCCCCGAGTCGTCCATCTTCCATTGTTCAATGCCTTAATTGATGTTTCACTACTTCAGATCTTTGCTTGTCTATCACATCTTGTGTCTATCTGTCCCTGTACTAAACGCTAATACGCTATTGGTCTTGCTGCTTTTTCTCCACTTCTCTGCGACACTACATACTGGTTTTGGACGCGGAAAGAAATTTCGATCGGGGCGCCTCAAGTGATAAGTCGAATTCTAGACTTCGTGGAATGTTGGTGGAATGACATCAATATTGCAGGAAATCTCCGTCTCATTCCACTCATCGCTCCTCAATTTCGATAGGCGAAGTCGCGCCAGTCGCGACGCGGACGCACGGGGATCTCTTCGCGGCGGGGAGTTAGGGATTGTTTATGGTGTTAGTGAGCGAGTTGAATTCGTTCCGAGCTCACTTCTTACCATTCAATTGAGCTACTTGTGAGACAATTTGTAAGACTCCGCGAGACGGAAAAAGAGCGACAACACTCGAGAATGCACCGATGGGGAATCGAACCCCGTCTCACCATCACAACCAAATGATAGAGAGATATGATCGTGTTGGTGAGTGTTCCATACACAACCAGCCTTATACCCTCTCTTTCTGTAGCGCTGAAGTACGGTTAATTCTGCTGCGAATCGAGTATTGTCGGACGGCCCGTACCACATCCAATGCACCAACTGCAAATTGCAAACCCTCGAAGCAAAATGACCAGTTCAACGCTACGGAGTATGATATGCTCTAATGTGGACATGGACGCACAATTAATCCCAGAATGCAAAAAACATCGCTTTGGCAAATCTCCTCATGTACCGGCGGGGAATCGAACCCCGTCTCACCATTATAATCCCAAAGGACATGGAACTACTATATTGGTGCGTGTTCCGTACACCACCGATGCTCACACCCTCCTTTTCAATCCCTCATAAGTAGCCCTGTTCTGCTCTTGGTCTTATTCCGCCAGGTGAGAACTTGAATGCAACAGGGGAACCAATTTGAACCAACCCCAGCTGACTATGATGGAGCGACGACCGGGATGTGTTTTCTGGATCGAAAG